GCAACAAACCTTAAACGTAGCCGAGAGGAACCAAGAACACAGTAAGCAAGGGGAAGTTCTCACCCCTGAACCTCACAGACATACGTTTGGCCATTCTGTGTACTTTAACAGCATCAGAAGGATTCCTCTGGTGGGAAGGGCAGAGTAAGCTGAATGGTCTGGGTAAAATTCAGACTGGTTGGTATGACAAAGTTTTAAATAATTGGAAAATCTGATGCAGGGATTAAAGGATAGAAAATATAATTAGTGCAGTCAGCATGGTTTTATGGAACGTAGGTAATACCAGACAAACTAGATTTAAGGTATTTGGACTTATGAGGCATTTGACTTCGTATCATGTAGCTTTCTGTTTCAATAAATGTACTAAGAACAGCTCTGAGGGACTGTACCCTACAAAGGACTGAGAAGCCATAATGGGAACAAGGAATTGACTTATTCTTTATTCCCTGCAGTGATTCTCTGACCAAAAAAAAATGGAAAATGTAAAAAACACTGTTTATGGAAGCACAGCTGCACGGAGGAGGAGTAAAGAAGCAAAATCACCTCTGGCACTGGCAGAAACAGCACTGGAGGATCATATACAGACCTTGTGCCACATGGTAAAGGGTATGTTGAAGTGCTAGAGATTTAGAAAAGACCACAAGGATTATTTACCACTGTAGAAAATTCCTTTTGAGAAAGGTAGGCTTACAACAGGTCAATCTGTTTAGCTTATCAAAGAAATGAGAGACAACCTGATTACAGTATGCAATTATCTTGTGGAGAGGAAGGCATAAAAGGTCAGACGAACTGGACTAGGAAGTAGGCCATGTATACACAACAGAAAGGGCACAGCTAATTAACAAGGCCAATGGTATATTCTCCATTTGTGAGGAATTTCCAGTCAAAATCAGATTCCTTACAGGGGGACATGCTCTGCTGAGAGAAGTTACCAGGTGCAGCACAGCAGCAATCTGATGAAGCTGAATGGCCTGCTGCAGCCAGAGACTAGATCATAATTTGGCCTTAAACATCATGATCAGGCCCTGCTAGTCCCCGAAACCAGGGGAGCCTGTCCCTGCAAACACAGGGCCTCCAGTGTTATCTCCAGCAGATAACAGCACCTCTGTCGCCAGACTTATTAACTATTCCCTTCAGTACACCTACAAAATAATTTGAAAGCATTCTTGGAGAAGTTTAAAAAAATGTATCTTCTTCTGTCTGAGCTTTACACTTGAAGGAAGAGCACATTCTGAACTAGCTGCAGGAAGTGAGATTTTGCAATCACTTTTTAAAATCCAGGCTCATTTTAGCATTAGCATCCGGCATTGCCCCATTCCCAGTATGCTGGGATAAATCCCTGCTCTGAGGATACAAGGGCAACGGGTGTGCCTGAGCATAGGCCTAGGCAGGGGAAAATGCAACTCTAAAATCTGTGAGGTGACTCTGTAGAGAAAACCTGAGCAGACCTGTCACAGCCCTTCACTCTACAGACCACTTCCTTGGTCAGAAAGACAGGCCCCGTGGCAAGGACTCTTACCTGGACCTCCAGGCAGCTCTGACCCCTTCTGAAAGTGCTTGCTGGGCTGGAGCTGCTGTTCATGCCTTTTTTACCAGGGCAGAGGCTCTGCATTTTGCTTGATGAGAAATAGTGAAAGGAGAAATAATATTCCTTCTGTAATTTTCAATAAAAAGAGAAGTTACTTGACTGTGAACTTTTAGCCTCCATAGGACAAGCTTCTGCCCAAATCATTAAGAGTCTTGGAAAATACCGAGAATCAGGCAGTAGGGGAGGAGATCCCCTGGCAAGGTCCTTCTTTGTGATTTCACTGAGAGGAAGTCTGCTGCTCACACAAGAGCAGCCTCTCCTAAAATGAGCACTACAAGCTCTGTCTATTCATTTAGTGGTTTGGGGTGAAAAACTGGCCCTGTTGAAATCACCGGCCAACTCCTATTGACTTAAATAATTTAATGGAGACCCCGAGAGGGCAGACAAGTCATGTAGACATTAAGGTCTATATATGTATCACACATACCAGTGAAACCAACACCACAGAGGATACTGGGAACCCATGGAGGAATTTCCAGGAAAGACTACACAAGCACCAAAGCACTGTTGCAGGATGACTCCTATTTCTCTCCCACTCATTTTTCCTTCCTCTTTCTATTCCTTCTAAGGCAGCACTACAGGAGAGGGAAGAACAGCACAGGAACTGCTAAGCCCCTTAAACTGAAGGACAATAGATTAGATTATATATTAGGAAGAAATTCTTTACTGTTAAAGTGGTGAGGCACTGGACCAGGTTGCTCAGAGAGGTTGTGGATGTCCCGTCCCTGGAACTGTTCAGGGCCAGGTTGGATGAGGCTTTGGGCAACATGGTCTAGTGGAGGGTGTCCCTGCCCATGGCAGGGGGGTTGAACTAGATGATCTTTAAGGTCCCTTCCAACCCAAACCATTCTATGGTTCTCCAAGTAGGCCTGGCCCAAGACAGCTCAGAGAAGGCATAAGAAGGCAAGATACACCTTACTGGGTCTCATCAGTGATCCAGCTACCCCCATATGTCTCCAGCAGTGGGAGACACTATTTCAGGAGAGCATGCAATCCTGTCCACTTTCTGCAGTATCTTCCCTGAGGATTGCTCAGCATCAATGGCCATGGGAATAGGGATGATATACAGTACCGTTCTGCCTATTCCCTTTAGTATTTTTTTATGGATCTTTAGTCCATTATTTTTTCCATTCCTCTTTTGAGCCAATTGATACCATTATCCTCCACAACCTTCTGCAGCAACTTCTGGTAGTTCACCATTCACTGTATAAAGAAGTACTTCTTCTTATTTTTGTTAAACTGCTCTCTCCTTAGTTCGTATGCCCTGCAGTTCAGGTATTCCATGATTTAGCCAAGAGCAGTTCTGCATCTGTTGTTTGCTATCAACTGCCTTCACAATCTGGAAAATGTGAGTCACATGCCTTCCTCCTTCAGAATTCTCTCTCTAAACTGGAAAGTCCCAGGCATTTTCATTTTTACTGTTTTCCAGTCCTTCTCTGTATCTTTTCTAACTATCCTTCTTGCAGATACCAGAACTATACCCAGGAGGCAAAACGTGTGTGCAACAAAGTTTCGCACAGTGGAAAAATCATGCTTTCTGGTTTGTTCACAAGACAGCACTGAGACAGGCCTGACATTATTCTGAATAAATCTGCCTGGCACCACCTCCAAGAAATTTATGTCATGGGCCTGTCAAAGCTCTCCTCCTCCTCTGTCTTCAATCTTTTCTTCACCCTCCTACTGCATGCTCACATTCCTCCAAGCCAAGTCCACACTGCTTTCCCATTTTTCTGCTACACTCCCACTTTCTATGCCTCCCTTTCCAACTGCAGATAAGCACAGGACCCTGCATGCACCCATTTACTTTGCACGAAAGACTGCTGAATATGCTATGAAAAAGATATGGGAGATCTGCACCACTGCCTCATCTTGCAGCTAGCTACCAAGAGACATCTGCATTTGTATTGCAGTTGGGAGCAGTTGTTACCATTTGTATAATGTAAAGAAACTCTTTTCATGTATCTCTGACCTTGTGTGTGCCAGTTTGGGGGAGCCAAGCTCACCTTCCTGTGCCTAAGAGTGGCTCAGGGCTGCTGAGACTAGATGCACTTCAACACCTCAGCCACAGTGCCTGCACCTCCCACGACCTTGCCTTCAGTGCTGAACATCACCAACCAGCTGAGTCAAAGCAGCACTGCTAGCAAGGAAAAGGGAGAATATCATCAAAGGAGAATACCATCAAACTCCACCTTTCCTTCCCCCCTCATTTTTGCCTGTGCACTGAAGGCCCACTATTTTCACAGCCATTTTGTCAACACTAGAAAGAGCATGTGGTGAAAAAAGGTGCTAACCAGGGTGAAGCATGCAGGCATCAGATCACTATTAAAAAGAAAGTTGTCAGGCTAGTGGTTTAGTTTTCCCTAGTGATAAGCTTGGGAAGGGCATTTCTTCAGGAAACAACTCAATCACCATTGCTGAGGCTGCACAGATTTTTGCCTCTCCTCCTTGCCTATGCGCTTAGGTTGCTGCCGGCCTTGCTTGTGCCTTTACAGCTAGGGCTTTCCATGACACTCGAATCTGTTGTTGCTAGGATAATAGTTTTTGCTGGTTCCTTCAACAGGAACCTGTATTCTGGCATAATCTTAAGCAAGAATGACTAGGGAGATCTAGTCAAAGAAACCTACTGGCCGTTTTATTTCACAGTGGAAATCGGTAAAGCATATTTATCAGCAGCCTATATTCTAAATGAAGCGTCTGATTTGGCTCATCATGAAATAACTGAATTCTGACACTAATTTGAGAATGATTAAACCCTACAAAATACCTCAGCTATCCTAAACCTAACTAAACCTAACACAGATACTTTCTGAATAATATTACAATAAAATGTTCCACAAATGAGCCTTGGGATCTCAAATTAATTAGAAATGCATAGCCCAATGATTGTGTAAGTTCATTGAAGGTACAGAGTTTATGGTAATATGAGTGAAAAGAGAACATTTTCCAAACGTTACCACAAGCAGACAAATTATATTAAAAACATTAGTCTGTAGAGTAATATAAAATAAAATATTATCATCTGATCAGCTCAAGTAACACTGATTTATATCTATGAATTAACAACATTTCTCTGTACATTTGCAGTAAGACTGCAATTTTACAAACTGATATTCAGTTGAACATATTTATAACACAAATTATACACTATGTACAAACCTAGTTCTCCAAGGAACTCTTTGTTCAGCATGCTTCAACACAGAAGTGATTTACCAATTTCTAGGACAGGATGCTAGCTTTCCCTTTAACTTAAATAGTGAAATACTTATCAAAACATGAGAAAAAAAAATCAATTTGCTATCACATGGTGGTGTTCTTCAGTCACTTGTTTGTTACCATATGTTATAGAAGAGTAGAACCAGTCACAACAATAAATAACATTGCTTATTATGAACTTAAACTTATATTCATGTGATCACACTTTCAGCCTGAGTGCTTTTACAAGACTGTAGGATCCATTTATCTTTGCTTTTCTTGACACGTAGATCAAAATTGCAACTACAGGTACTGCTACTGCTGTTACAGAGGAGAATGCAATAATCAGTGGTATCATTTGATCTGGTTTTTCCAATCTTCCTAAAAATGGAGACAAAAGGAGAAAAAAGTTGTGTAAAAAACCGATTGAAACAGATACATGTATATTACTGTAAAAGCAGTGTTATTAATGACCTTCATTTAGAATGCTCTCTGTTTTCATGCACAAAGCATATTTGTAAACATTTTCCTTATGCTTTTTTCTTTAGTAACTCCATATTACACACTTTAATTCCTAGCCACTATGTTAGTCTTCAATTTGCTATGCAAGTTCAAATCCGTCTGATATCACCTACAATGAAGAACACCACGGATTTCATGAAGAATACAAGAAGAATATCATGTATTTTACCCAGGAAACATTTGGAGACATTTCTATTTCTTGGAAACAATGCTTCAGGGGAAGACCATGTTTAAAAAAGCCCAATCTTCAGATTTTTTTGTGAAACAGAACTTTCTCTGGTGTAGTCTCACTGTTCATGCATGTGGACAGAAATACGGTCAGGATCTACCTTTTTCTGGCCATACCCTTAAAGCTACTGCACCAACTCAGGTAAGAGAGACAAAAATATCCACACTGAAAGGAGGCTAAATAGAGTTTATTCTCACCAACTGTTCTGCTATTTGGTTTGATTTTCGGGGGGTTTTTTCAGGTTAACTGCAGTATTGTTGCGCAAGGATCAGCCATGAACTAGCTGTGCTTACCTTGACACAAAATTCATTAGAAAGTACGAACTTTAAGGCACTGGATCTAGCTACCTACAACAGCTATCTCAATCACTTTGATGTTGTTTTCAGCCTCACTGAAAACCTCAAGCAAACATCTTCCTGTATCATTTTTGGTGACACAGTAGAGTATAAAGTATGGCAGAATAATTGCTTTCTCCTGATGGATTTTTTCAAGACCCTCTGTGATGGTGGGTTACTGTGTGTGCTACAAGTAATGGTGACATTTTCTCAGTCTTTAATATTTTCTGATGGATATACTAACACAGTAATATTTTGGGAAGGAACTGAAAAGAAATGCAAGGTAGGATTTAGCAACAAACAGAAGCAAAAAACTCGTAAGTTATCAGCAGCTTGTACACACAAAGTACTAACCCAGTTAACGGATTCACTATAATATTGGAGCACATAGCTTGAGACACTACTCTGTCCCTAGCTATCCTTCACACACTGCAGTCAACAGCAGATGACAGGAAGAACATTTCATCAACTGATGGAATATGTTGCATGTATTTTCTGTTATATGGAGCCTTTTCTTCTTTTCTTATTTTAAATTCACTGTTTATTTGAGTTAATGAAACTTCTTTTGAAGTTCTTTTCAACAGAAAAGAAATAGAAAAGGCAAAGAAAGGAGTCCTAGAATAGTATTTCTTTCACTAGGTTCCACAATTTTACATCCTGTTTTCAAAGGTGGAAGTGGAACTGTGAAAAAAAATTAAGCAGAAATTATTTTGTGCATCTGACATTTTGGACAGAAGTTTTCATTAGCCTAAGATCCTACCACTGATGACAAAAGCCTGTGCAACTCATCTCAGTTTTTTAAAGACAATTAATTCTTAATGGAATTGAAGATGTCATTCTGTCTGCCTAAACCAAATACTAATATTAACTCTGTACAGTAGTTCTTTTAACTAACTTTTGACATAAAGTACTATGTGTTGAGACTGCTCTCCCAGTTCATTAATGATATGCATTCATATGTCCCTGTGTCTTTTATCTGAGTCCTGTCTACGGTGTATTTGCCATCTACCATTTCAAGGGTTGTGATCCCATCACCTATGTTCTTTCACAGAACACTCTGAACAGATGTAACATCTACACATGGGCAACAGATGGCAACATTTTCTCCTTGTATCATTGCACTGGAAGGGAAAACTGAAAGTGTATTTTTTGGTGCAGCTACAAAAATAGTAAAGAATAAGGAAGAGAGAGAGATTAGTGAGAGAAGTGATCCCTAAGCAATACACTGCTGCCATGCAATAAACAGAAACTGCAGGGCTAAAGCAAAGTCGTCTGCTTAGTACTGAAAATGAAACTTTGCTAGCGTTGCTTGTAGGTTAAGGAATCAGCATTTGGTACAGCTTAAATGCAGCTTGTGAGAACAGGACGCAGAGTCATAACTTAAAGGAGAGCCAAAGGACTGTAATACAGTTCCTCAACAGAAAAGTTTCAGCCTGTACTTTCTCTTTGAATCTTTTGTATACAGGTATCTGGAACTGCCACTGAAACCTATTTGGCAGAAAATATAGCACTACATAGCTTCTTTGCCTCATGCATACATATGCCAATTGGAAGGAGTGATGGAAGCTCAACTGACATGAGAACTTTGCATAAACTATCTATGGCAGATTTCACCCTTCATTGTTTAAAGCTTCCTAAATGACTTAATGACATTAGAGCCACCTTTTAACTCCTTTGACATAAAAGACAGAATTCCCCAGTCCCTCCCAGAATGAGATCTGGACCTAAAATACATCAAACAAAAACTTTGTGTTCATCTTGTTCTACTAACCTTGAACAACTAATTTCACAGCTTTTTCTTCTTTGCCAAATTGGTTATAAGCTTCACATTCATAAAGACCCAGATCTTGACTTTTTATGTTTTGTATAGTTAGAGTTGCATCTTTTAAAATTTTCTCAGACTCCCCAGTGACCTTCTTTTTCTTCCAAGAGATCACTGGAGCTGGATTACCAGAACTAGTACATTTCATCGTCACAGTTTCTCCTTCTTTAACAGCAGTAGCAGGGATAACAGAGACCATTGTATTCCTCGGTCCATCTGAAAGGAAGAATCCTGTAGTTAATCATCACTGGATTTTTTTAAGAGATGGATTCAACATGTTATACTGGATGCCAGGTTGTCAGCCTCCAAAAGTTAATTTCTTTTTCATTCTCAGAATAAGTAAAACACACAGTATCAGAGTTTTCATACAAACTCTCCATAGCCTGAACATACTAACCAAGCATTTCTAACCAAGAATGTTAAGAAGGTAGATCTGTTTCTCACTCATTCGCATCCTGACTTAAGACTGTCATTACATTAAAGATTTCATGTCTTTGTTTTGCTCATCAGCACTGCTCCTTTCTTTGGGGAAGAGCAGAGGACTACACTGATTTGTTTAGTTTGATGGTTACATTTATCACTGAAGGAAGTGGAGAATTAACTAATTATTTTTAAATGATCTGGAAAACATTACAGATACTTACATTCCACATTAAGCGTTATTTCACTTTTAATTTTCCCAAATTCATTTTCTGCTACACATTCATAGTCTCCTCCGTTTAGGAACATCACAGATGGAAGAAGTAGAATTCTCCCCTCACTGTAAGGCCCCATGTCTGCACTGTCAGATTTTCTCCTTAAAATAATCTTGGGAGGAGGGTTACCCTCAGCAGAACATTGTATGGAAACATTTTCTCCTTCCTGAACTGTTGCAGAAGGCTCAATGGAGAGTTCTGCAATGTTTGGAGCACCTGCATGACAAACAAAAAGGCTGTTATACTAATGCAAAAGTACTAAAGATGAAGAGGGTTTTAAGAAAACAGGAATTGCTTGCCCAAAGATTTGTTCATTGTGATTTTGGTCCCAGGCTCCATCTGAGACTTTTGGCTCTACTGAAACAGTAGTAATGTCCCAAATGATTTTACTACTAAGTTTACTACTAATTACTAAAACTACTAGTTCAAAGAAGGAGACTCTGATGTCCCTGTGAAATTGCTATGTATACTAGCATTTCAAGCAAATAACAGTGTCCCCCACACCACCACTTTCTCAGATTCTTTTATCACTTTGAATGCTGCATTGCAGGAAATGTATAGAGGTATACATATATAACAGCTGTACAGACAGAATTAGTTGAAAATTAATCATAGAAATAAAAGCACAGGCCATGAAGAGCAGCACTAAATTGAAAGCTGAATACATAACAAAGAAGGCCCCACAATTTCCTAATTTTCAGTATCCTCCAACCCAACAGGCAGCTGCCAATTGGGTACTGGATAACACAAGCTAAATTCAAGCAGACTTGTACCTTGTATAACAATGTCCACAGTTGCTATCTCCATTTTATTAGTTACCAGATTAATTACTTCACAAATGTACAGTCCTGAATCAGTGAAACGGGCACGGGGAATAGAAAGGACATTGTTTTCTATCAGATGCTGAATGCTTTCATCAGCCAGATGTTTTCTCCAAACTATCTTTGGTGGTGGATTACTATCAGTCACACAAATGAATTCTAGAGGGTCTCCTTCCATTGGTGAGTTGTGTGGAAATGCAGTAATGATAGTAGTATTTTGTGGACCAACTGCAAGGGAACAAAAGAGAAATCAGGTCAGTAAGTTAATGAAGAATGACATGTACATCTTTAACACTGGCTTCTCTAGAGGTACATTTCACACAATACCAAGAAAAAAATGAATAATGTGTATTTCAGTAACACAGTGGAACAATTTTTCCAGACTTGATAAGACATTTAGCTTGCAGCTTCAAAAGCTAAGCTAGACAAAATGTCTACAAATTTTTTTTTTTTTCTCTTACATTTGTACCCCTATTGTTTAGGACTATAAACTTGGAACCACTAAGCTTACAATGGCAATTTTAAAAACAATTGTGTATCTGCATGCTGCCATTTGTCTTCTGGTCTTTACTTTTTGACTGAACACCAGTGCTCAAGCCAAGAGAGCGAGAGAGAAGTTACTAGAGAATTCCTTAACTTCTGTCATGAAGAACTATGGGTATTTAATGGCTCAATGACTGTTATTGAATACAACAGAATCAAATGAATACAACAGATTATCTACAAAAATAATATAGATAAGAAGTGCAGATTATAAATGATTTATAGTACATACTTCGTAAACCCATTCCATGACACTTAACATTAAACAGTACTTGGTGTGAAAGCCCTGGAATAAAAATACTTACAGTTTGCATTCAGTTTCCGAGAAGTTACTCTTTCTTTGGGTTCAAAGTCCATATCAGTAATCGGTAACTTGGCCACACAGGTAATCTCTTTCCCAATATCTTCAGCCGTGGGATTAAATGAATATGTCACAGTTTTGGTCTCCGTATCTGTGCTGTCATCATCATAAAAATTTTCCTTAAGAAGGACATGTTCCTCTTTTTTTAGGAATACTTCCAGGTGATCAGAAGGATACACATCAGGAATTTTACAGGTGACAGTGACCGGTTCTCCAGCAACTAAGGATGGGCTGATCTCAATGATAGGATCACTGGGGAAAGCTAAAAGAATAAAATCCATTTCTTTAGTCTAGCAGAGATGAGCTCTAGGGTCAACGTAAGAGCAAGATCCAGACATCAAACATCTTGAGTTTAGAGGCATTCAGAATATGACATTAAATCAACTTTATTACAAGGCATACCCTGTTATGAAGACATACAGGTCTTTTATAAGCAGTTCATACACTAACAGGAATTATATTTGTACAATTGTTGAAATATGATCACACATGATCTAATAAGATCCAGCAAGGCACCTAAGCGGTGATACAGCTGCCTAAATATAGGCATCCAGAGTGATCCACACATTGGTGGTATCCTGTTTTCCATGCTGGCAGGTTTAGATATCTGAATCATTCCCCTGCAAACTGCAAAGGCTTTGATTAGGTGCTCTGCACTTGCAGGTTTCCCAAATACATCCATCTCAACCATAGTGGTTGCTTTTTTTTTTTTCCTCCAGGTCTATGAATGTACTGAGGAGTCTATGTTTTGGCTTTCAAGTATTACCGAGAATAAGAATGAATAAGACCAGTATGTACTACCTTCAGTGCAGAAAGCTAAGCGGAAAGGGGCTGAGAGAGTCCTGAACAGATAGATAAAGACATCTTACAAGGATATATATGTTGAGCTATAGCAGACTCATTATGCTAGTATTATCAGTTAACTACCAACTATGCTATCTAAAAACAATGATTGATTTTTTATGAACACATACTACTTAAAGACAATTTTATGTTTTTACTTACAGTAAAGTTCAACTTTGATACTCTTCTCTTTTTTCTCTTTCTCACCACAGAAGACTGTACAAAGATAATCATGAGAATTCACAGTGCTAACTGGATTCATAGTCAAGGTAGAGTATGTCCTATGGTTGCTCACTGTTCCTCCAAGGGGGTTGTCCATCTGGGTTCTCCAGGAAAAACTTGGTGATGCACAGCCAGTAGTATTGCATGTGAGTATGAGTGTTTCTCCAATTTGTGCAACAACTCTGTTAGCAGGTATAATCTCCATTTCAAAAGCTTGAACTACAACAGGGAGAGCATATATAAACTCAGCAGCATTCTCAATATTTACTTTTCCATTTCTTCTCATGTTCTACTGTGACATGAGGTCATTACTTTGCAAGTTTACTTTACAGTTGTGTGGAAGTTAAACTAATAAAACTCACACAATAGTTTACATTTCCAAAATACCCCATAAACATTGCAATTTTTTGTCAAAGATAATACAGACTCAGATGACTAACAGACAGTTCTCACATATAAAATGGCATAAACCCAATGCTGTCAGTGAAAATAAACACATTGGCACAATATAACTTTTTTTGTCAGGTGGATCTGGTTCTAAAACTTTGTCACATTTGAGGGGAGGGGCGGTAAGTAAGATAGCAAGGACAACTGCAGAATCACTTTCAATAAGACATTTAGTACCAAACTTGAATGATATTGCCAGGAATGACAGTAAAAATCCAACATGCAGTGATATACTGCAGTTGTCTCCTAGACTGTCTTTTAGCAAACTCAATAAGAAAATGACTGTGTCATTGCAGAACACAGAAAAGCTCGAAGTAAATGTCAAAAAAAGTTTCCTGACATTTTGACAGAACTACTTAATTGACAGTTGTATTCACTGAAATGTGAAAGCAACTGGAACAAAGAGAAATAAAGATCAAACAGTAAATTGAAGGTCAGTTTACACTTAAAAACAAATCCAGCAAACACACGCCCCCCGCAACTTACCAGTCACTAACACATACAAAATTATTAGCACAGCTCGGTTTGTTCTTCCCATCTGTTTTAACATTTTTAATTGCTGTTATTAGGTAAAGAAAGTAAATTCAAAAGCCTTGCTTTCTATTTTCCGTGAAGAAGCACAGCGAGATCCTGCTGCTCTGCAACAGTTTGTTAGAACAGAGCCAGCGCGCTCTTTATAAAGGCCCTCCTCGAGGTGGAGTGGGAAATCCCTGGCCGGGGAAATCCAGAGCAGGGAGGAAGAGATCCGTACCGGGCTGTGCTGGTGAGCTCAGCGCCCTCTGCTGCCTTTTGATACGGAAGTTAAAGCCCAGAAAAACAATAAATATCAACACTTGTAATACAGTGCCCACTAGACTTTAAAAGACCAAGTCGAGATCTGATCCTGCAAACAACTCATAAAATGAAAGTATGTGGGTAATTCCAAGTAATTGAATAGCACTATATCTCAGATGGAAAAGTTTCTTAATTTTGCTTTCAGTGCAAGTATTTTTGTAGGACCATGGCTGAGAATACTTCTAACAATACTTATTTCTGTAAATAACTTTACCTAACTCAGTACTCCCTTTGAAAACTGTGCTACCTGTTAAGACGGTGATGTTACTCACATTCCTAAGTATTTTCGATCTCTAAAAATGAAGAAATAAGTCAGATGATAACAGAAGTCTGGAGATCTGACTTGATCAGCTTGAATCAGGCTCATCCTGTTCAGATGAACTGAATGAATAAATTTTCCCATTTCCACTTTAAAATTTTTCTAAAATGTCCCTCTCTCAAGATATACTGGTATATCTCATATTACTGATATGCCTCTCGGATCTCTCATGTCCTGTTTATGTATAATTGAAGTATAGCAGTTGATAATACAATTCTGGGATTATTTTCAGCACTTGGTTTCCAGTGGGTATAAAAATCCAGTTTGGAATATTTCTGAGGGCAACTATTATTGGTTAATCTAGTGACAATGGTATGAAAAAAGTAAAATAACATTTTCATTGTTTAATTTTCAATTGTGAAACACTATGAGTGCAAAGAATGGATAAAGGTTTCCCAATCTCAATTGTTTACTTACTCAGCTACTTGAGTAGTTCATATTGGTCAATTATGACTCAGTAATAAAAGCAGCAAGAAACTGAAAACAAAATATATATGTTTTTAAATGTCTCCAGCAAATTGTTTGGTATGTAATAGTTTGGTCATTTGATGTCCATGAAATATTGTAATCATACAGTATATTTTATAAACAGCACAGATTCAAATACCTAGTAAACCAGTAATAACTTGGAAAAATAAAGGCAGAAAGAACAATGTTGTAAATGCTAAAGCAACTTAATTGCTGAAAAGCTGGCACTACATCAACCTAATACTTTCTGAGTCAAGCAGATTTTATGGTTAATAACCTAATGCTAGCTCCAAAATACCATGTCCAGGTGAGAGTAGTACCAGAGGATATAAGGCTCCCGCTGGCCTACAGGGAGCATGTCTTCTTCAGGAGCTACTTTTTTGACTTTTTCCCTGACTGCAGCTGCCCCTACATTTGCATCCTGATGAAAAGATATCTGGACAGTACAAGGTGCTACAGAAACACCAAAACACAGTGTAATAAATACATTTATGACTCTTTCAAAGACCTTACACTAGGCAAAATAAGAAGCATCCACCACTTTTTTCATACACTTATCATAAACTCGTAAAAGGGATGCAGTGATTATGGAAAGATAAAATTGTGGTCTCAGGCAGAAAGTATGTCTTCAAAATAATAACAACAACAACATTCAGAAATATGGAAAAACCAAACAAGACAACCAAAGAATTACCCAGAAGACAACAAAACAGGGAAATCTCAAGCACCTAACAATGCCTAACCGAAAGTCACCAAAGCTGAAATTCTCTGAAACTGCCACAGTGGATTCTTCCATAATATATTATTTTTATTATCATCATAATTGGTTTTATTAGAGGAAGAAGACAAAAAATAAATCTCATTAGTCTCAGGAAATGCAAGCAGAGTATTCTTCTGTTATCAAAGTACTGTTATCAAATCCAGAAACTCAAAATCCATCCAGAGTAGGTAACAACATCTACAGAATGTGATTTTACTTCACAGAAAAGGGTTGTTGGAAAAAAGTGTGCTCTCTTAGTTAAGTTGCCAACAAATACTTTTTAATCATAGGCACAGAGAAGCAAAAAATGAAACTCTTCTGCTTTGACTGCTTAAATAATCATTGGCTAAGCTGAAGAAGAAAAGGCAAAATTTCCCTGTTTCTGGGAAATCAGTTTCTAGACACAAAAAGATATAAACATAGCAGGCCGTATCCGCATGCTGGAAAAAATGGTAATCAAGTCCTTCATCAGATAACATGAAATAGGAAATAACTCTGATCCAGCTCTCAGTAAATTAAACTGGACAGCTGCCATTAACTTTACTGGAGTTGGATCCTTACCAGAGGGATTACTATACTGAGCAATCAGATAAATTTAACTCAGATAGTATAATCAAGGGCAGGGTTAGCCAACAAGTATTATTAAAGGAAGTACAGATCTGCCAAGAAATTAAAACATTTCTTAAAACTTGCTCTTTACCTAACTTCAAACATGAGCCTTCTATGTATTTATAAGAATAATATGTACTTTACTGTTGCTCCTACTATACTCAGCATCAACCTGCAAATACGACAACGAATATCAAGTTTGCTTATTTTCAGAACTGGCTGTTCTGTCTGAAAACAAATAGAGATCAGCTGACAAGTTTTAGCAGTTGATCTCAAGAGTTCAGATAATCTAGCTTTTTATTCAAATGGCACAGAGGAGGATGCTGGGTATAAAAATAGGTGATGCATCTAGATTCATAGCGAGATCAAGTATTATAGCATCAACTGGAAGAAATTCTGACACATGCAGAGCATAATGAAGACTGGAATGTAAAGTATTATAAAAATATTACTAAAGCCAAAAGAGATCAAAAGATTTAAGCACTGGGATGTAAATATGTGTTTTCCAATACATGTAGCAATCAAAAGAGACTTTTCTCAGCCTTTGGTAGACAAGGAAAAAACAATTGTGTTTCTCAGAAGGGAGTTTGGAAAAACTTGAACACATCATTTTTGGCCTGGCATCAGAAAATACAAATGTCCTCCAGGAAACTGAAACTTACTTCAGACTTTTCTGGAATGTAAGAAAAGAAAAGCATTTCACTGTGCTAGGCATTTGCTTTAGCTCATACTTCCACAATCCTGTTAAATAGCTATATGATAAACTTCAATTAATTTCCTCTAGACAAAAGAAATAACAAGTTCTTGATACCTTAATGAATTATTTGAACAAAACACACATTATGCAACATGTTAGTTATCCAACATTTCTCACCCATCCTGCATTTTTAGTGTACTTCACTGTCTCATGGAGGCTATTACAGGAAAGCTGAAAGGCTTAACATCATGCAGAATTTGGTCTCTTAAAACCTTCACCACTAGTTTTGTGATTTATGGCCAAGGACCTATGGAGAAGAAGGCTAGTCCTTCTCTTTTGGCAGAGGAGATTTATAAAATAAAAAGTAGAAGGAAACTCATCTGATTTGACATTCTGTTTCCTGTGTCAGCAATAAAATGGTTCACGGTGCTTCATCCCAATACCTGCATCTAGAGCCATCATCTGGGATTTCTGCTGAAATACCCAGTGCTGGAGTAATAACTTCTATACAGAGCCCCAACGTAGAAACATATGCAACATTACTGAGCATCTTTCTGTCCCATCAGCTTGAGAGGGCAGAATCCTGTGGAAGGCATGGCATTCGAGGGGGGGAAGATGCAGCTAAGTCTGACTCAACAATTCTTCAGCCTACGATCATAGAGATATTACAGCAAGTTCATACTCAGGTCCCCCATTCAAACTGCAGCCATCACCCATCTCATGAAAGATCTCTTTGGGATACATACTGCATGTCTGAGCATAAGAACACCTCTTAGAGAGTTTCTGATGCTTTACAGAAGCAGCTGGGATGAAGAACTTTCACCCTACGCAAAGGGCATCCAATATCTCCACAGCATGATCATGCCTAAAGAATAAAAGCAAGAGGAACGTGCTATAATTCAAATGAGAACTATTCTCACAGGGAAAACACTCTCCATTGACAAAGAAGGAATGCCCTTCAGGCACCACATCCAAGGTAACACCTTTAATATGCTTATATCTTGATCAAGTAACTGAGAAAACATGAACCTTGAGGACATGTATGAATACTGCTGACTATATGGCTTAGACAGCAGATAACGATTTACCAGCCTCCAAATTGTCAGTTCTCAGCAACCTCAATAGCCTGCTACATGGGTTGTATACTGTCTG